TCCATAATTTCGTTCTTTATTAGAATAATTTAATTAATTTAAGTTTTCTGTACATAGGAATTCATTTTGAAGTATTAAATTATCAATTTCAAAATTACTATAAAGATTAAGGAAAGAAAATTTTGAAATTGGACTTTTGAAAATAAAATAATCAGAATTGGAAGATAAGAAAATATTACAAGTAAATATGATTCCATTGCTAGAATTGCTAAAACGATGATCAAATATTCTTGTAAAATGCTCATATGTCTAATTATAGTTTATACTAATTGGCAATTACAAAATATTGTGGCAATAAAGAATTATCTAGTACGCAGTATTTTCAATATTATAAAAATATGCTTGATTTTTCACAAATAACGGCTATGGCTAAACGACAATGACCGGCCCTTTGGGATGCTTTTTAATCAGACAGGGACAAATGCCCACCTTGTCACCACCAAAATGATACAAATGACTCTGTGTAATTCTACAGAAGTCATGTGATATGTTTGATTTTCATAGTGGTTTCTTAGCTAAATTATTCTCGATGAAAACTGCATAGCTTAACTGTTTATTAAATTAATTATAATTATTTATGATTCAGCTCCTTTTTCTTTTGTTTACATGTTTTTAAATCAAAAATACAATTTTTATAGGAAATGTATAATATTAAACTTTCGGGATCAATCAAGATATTACCGAAATAATTCAGAATGTACGTGAATTTGACAAATATTTTTTGCAGTGAATATGGGATAAAATGCGATTAAAAGGATCAATTTTTTTTTTTTTTTTTTTTGCTTTGGAACCAATTTCGTTAAAAGTGAGATGCACACCGTAATCAAATATTATTTATTTTAATGACATATAATATTAATTTTTCGATTGATATTGTTATATTGTTTGTAATTCTGTCCTTCTATTTTGTTGTTTCCTTTCCAATATATATTAAATATGTTTAGTAAATATTCACAATTTTTTTATGAAAAAGTTATATTGCATACTCACCAATAAAATACAAAAATTTTTAAATTTCACTATTTATCAAAATACCATTTTAGTATTATGCCTTTTCATATATTTAATAACAATAATATTCATAATAAACAGGTGAGACCCATGGGTGGATGAGAAATAGGACGAGTGAGACACAAAAAAGAATGATTCATAATAATAATGTTATGCTGTATTGGACTTTTAGACATAAAAGTAATATACTATTTCTTTCGAAAAAGAGTCCGATATAAAGATGATAAGTAGTTTTCAATTTTTTTTTTTTTTTTTCATAATGCATAATACATTTTTTGATAAATTTAAATAACTACAAGAATTAATAAAAATGCTGTATGTTAATAGTTAAATATATTTGTCTAATAATTTCCAGTATACCACATATATTTTACTGTATTTATAAACAAATGCGAAATACAAAAGAACATTAATTTAATTATTTGATATGGTTTTGAAAAAAAATAAAAAATCGCCATGTTTTTTTTCTGTGTCCGTTGCCGACTATTCACAAATCAAATCAACGTTCACGTTAAATTATTTTTATTCTTTTTTATGTTTTTCTGCAAATTATTCGTTTGAAATATAACAGTTACCCGTCGTTTCTAAACCACATTAATAGTTTATATAATTTATAGTATATACTAACATTTGTACCATTTATACTGTCATCATATAATAGTTTTTTTTCCGTAACTATTTTAAAAATACATAAAGGCATTTTACGTTATTTTATTTTGACTTGAAATAATGTGCTATTTAGGTATTAATTTCATTGTAAGCTATGTATAAATATTAATAAAATCAACGGTATGATATGTATGTATGTAGGTTATACATTCACACACACATACATATGAACGTACTTATGTAAGTAATAGTATATAAAATATATATACTTTTTAATAAAGCGAACCACCTCGTTCATTCTAAGCCTATGCTTACCTATGACCTCTTTTTGAAGTAATATTTTCTCGTGTAATCCCAAAAGCCTCTGGAGAAAAGTCTACAAAAATTGAGAATAATTATTTATGTGGTCAATAACTGAAACACGAATACGTATATTATTTTCATTAAACCGATATATTGTTTTTATAATCTATCTGCTATATTATAACATATAATATATCAGCTATATATATTGGATAAATTATTCGGTATCGCTCAAGAGATATTTAGAATTTTTGTTATCGTTCAGAACAGTCGATTTCCTTACACCAGATTTTTTGTTCTCAAAGTAGTATAAGAGTAACTAAAATAAACCTTCAAGACTTCAGAGATTTTAAATATAATACTAGCCGTTGTCCTTGGAACTTTAACAATATTTATATTACATATACGTATTTGCGTTATACTATTATGATTATTAAATGCATCCGTTATATTATATATGTGTAAATTGTATGATAATATAATAAAAGCAACTGTAATAGTTATTTTGGGAAAGTTATATTTTTTTTCAACATATAATAGTACGCCTTCCGATTATATTACATTTTATAATTTGGTTATTTTTTTACAACTTTAAAAATATTATATATATAATTTATAACTTAAATATACGTACTTGAATATTATGTAGTTGAAATAAAATTACTATCCTTAGCATAATTATATTTTTATTTGCATATTTATTTCTACCTAGAAACATACAACTTGTAACACAGAAAACCTTGTACTATACAAACGTTTTTATAAAGTTTCATAATACACGTTTGAATGAAAAAGTTGATTATTTAAATTACCCTCTTGTTATTTTTATTTATTATTTATTCATTTTTTTTTGTCATAATATACATATACATATATTTAAAACTTAATTTTTTTCTTATATCTTAATGAAATATTAACTTCAAGAACTTACTGTCAATTTAAGATAACAATATAGTTAGACTATTTATCATTTCAAATAGGTTGGTATAATTTAAAATAATCAATAAATAATAATAAAAAGTCTGTTATCGGTGAAACAGAAGTTTGAATAACTATACAAAACTTTTGTTGTTTCACTCAAACCATCCGTGACGCTAGTTTCGTTTTTTTATTTTTCGTGTCCATAAATCAGTTTTACAAATTCATTCTGTTTGAAATTTCCTCGAATACACACCATATTGCTGATAACTATCGTTATATTGTATTAGGGTGTATCCTTCATAACGTGAACGAATGAAACGCACCAATTCATATACTGCAAAGCGTATCAATTAATTCCGATGACCACTGATTACATTTGATAGCCAATTAAGACCATGGCCTGCATCAGTAAAAAAAAAAATCTGCAAGAAGTATGACGAGTGTGTACAGTCGATTTTATCGAGAGCCACGACAAAAGATGCCATTGTCAAAACGTGAACACTTTACAATTCGGCTGTTGCCGATCATAAGTACAATACCTATATGGTGGACCAGGTCATTGGATCTAGAACAACAGTAATGGTGCAAGACACGACGAGTAAAAATTGCTTCGCCGCGGAAAACGTTACGTGCCCGTCTTGCACTGTCGTGATAATAATGCAAACTAGTACAATAATCGTTAGGTATTCGAAAATCATGACAGCACCCATGTGGAGAAAAACTTGTTATGTTCGACAACGTTGATTTTATTAAAGCCGTATTTAGACGAATGGAAATTCGTCCGGTATGTAGATCGATGGAAAAAGTTTTTATATAAAATACGGGTAAAGAATACATTTAAATGCACGGAATACGGTATTGCGACGAGACTAGATAAATAGTAACACATGCGCTATATAGCGAGGCGTTGGTTCGCTATTTAACTTTAATGGGTAATCGTCCTGTGCAGGTTATGCGCGTATACGAATGGTTGTGCGCGATGGAACATTAAATAAGGAATGGTTCGGAGTAAGTAGAATATGGGAAGAAGGATCTCGAAAGGAGATTAGGTAATAGCATGCCTCGTTTTTATGATTATAAGCGTATATTTCACACGTAAACATTACTTCCATGAAAGGTAATAGTCTTGATTATTATGTATTTCTTCGATTTTATGTATAATTTAATATTCCCATAGATAGTGCTCATATTTTATTACAATCTTTGTGTGATTACTCTTAATTGTCCGTCTGTAATGAAAAAAATAGTAAGGAAACCAAGTATTCCAAAAATATAGAGTGATCACAGATTTTATCATCGGTAAATCTAGTTCTGGTGATTACCACGATTACACCACCGCTGCAGGAATGTACCACTTTCCTTTGTTTTTGTGAAATCATTTTAAGAATTTTAAAAATTCAAAATACTAAAAAAGTTAACGGTTGGAATTTTCGGAATAACCCTTCAGTTGCATTTTTAACCAAAATATGAGTCAAAAAAGTTCTTTCATGTTCTTTCGATCCAAATATTATAATCATTTTATGTCTAGCTCTTCCAAAAACATAACACTATGGAATTGAATAGTGCGTAATCTACACAACGATGAGGTTATCAGAGCATCAACTATCGTAGATGTAGGATATTATCAAATTTTTTGTACTCATGTGTAAATTAAAATTTTTCGTTTGATGATAACGTAATTGGTATGATTTTTATTTGAAAAAAAAGTTATATATTTAGTAAAATTTACTGACAATTTTTCAAAAATCACTTTTATATCATCTTTAGTTGTTAGAACACAACATCTTGAGTATATAAATAGCTTATATTTACCTAATTATTTTTACATCATTTTTGAATGAACAACTTAAATTTTAATTTAATTTAAAAAAATTAGTACATTTAATAATCTCTCACAACTCTAGTATAAATTACCATTTATAATATTTGAACTTTTTAATAAAATAGTAGTGTATCTAAATTTAAGGGATTTCATATGGCAGTCTAGTATGATAATTTAAATAAAAGGAATATATTTTCGCACTGTGGAACTAATGTGAACTATTTAAAAAGTAAAACCAAATTGTCAGGAGATTATTTTTTATAAATTAGTATTATTATTAAATTAATATTTGATTTTTTTTTATAATTTTTTTTTTTTAACTTGTGTGTTGCAGACGTGCACAACGATGGATCAGAGCCAGAGTTTCTGAATCCAATGAAAAATGTCACGGTGGCCTTGGGAAGAGAGGCAATTTTGGTATGTTCGGTGAAAAATATCGGAGAACACAAAGTGAGTTGAAAAAACAAAATAAAGTAATAAATCTTTGTTCGTTTAATCATAATACTACTATCGTTTAGGTATTCTGCCCAAAAACTGTGTTATGTTTTCTTTAATGCATTGCCTACATGGCAATTATGATGAATACGATAGATACACTGCACAGGCAATGGAAATCACGTACGTGAAGTTGTCCCACCTTTTTTCAAGGATTAACTTGAAACCCATACTAATATTTTGCAAGTTATTTGCGAGAATTTGCGAGTTCATTTTCAAAATTTGCGAGTAAGCCGTTTGCGAGTTACAATTGAAAAACAGAAGGGTGGGCCAACTTCACGTAGCCCCTCCAAGTCGCCCTAGAACTTCAAAACCGATATCAAACGATGCGTCTTTATTTGCGAGAATTTGCGAGTCCATTTTCAAAATTTGCGAGTTCACCCCTTACCCACAAATTCCATTTTCCTACCATGAAGTTAGCCCACCCAAGTCACCCTAGAATTTCAAAATTGATACCAAACGAAGCGTCTTTATTTGCGAGAATTTGCGAGTTCACCCCTTACCCGCAAATTCCATTTTCCTACCGTGAAGTCAACACACTTAACACGCCCTAGAATTTCAATGGTCCGTTTTCAAAGAAAACAAAGAAATAACCGGTTGTAGATAAGATTTTTTTTCACCACAGCTAGGGTTTCAAAAAAATCAGTTTTTTTTAAAAAAAATATAAAATACGTTTTAATTGTTTAAAACAATGATTTTTATGTTTTAAACAGTTTTTAGTTATTATTTTATTCGTAAGTTTTAAACATTGTTTAAAACAATTAATTTTTTTTTTATTTTATTTAAAATTAAGTTTATAAAAATATTTTCCCTAAATGAGATTATTACTCTCAAATTTTCAACCAGAGTACAGTACAGGTTAAAGGTGATTTTATATAGATACTCTGATTTTTGAATAGTTCTAAAAAATTACCAAAAACCATTGTTTCTACCTGTTATTTTACTTTTTTAATAAAATTAATAAAATAAAATAATAATATCCTTTATTTATATAAAGAATAAATTATCATACTATTTTAAATATGTTTGAACGGTCATTTTTACATTTTCCACTGTTATTATATTATAAATTTACCTATCTAAAAATTATGATTTACGACTTACGAGTATGTAACTTATGACTTATTAGTTGTAGACACGTCTTTCAATTATAATTATGGTCTATAGCAACACAATAGAATCTTCCACAGGACTCATGGTTTTCCAATTAAAAACACTTCATAATACAATAATTTGATATAATTTTAAATTTGTTATCCGAATAAAGAGCTATATTTAGTTATTCTGTATGTTTAAAATCCCTTACATCATTGTATTCATAATTGTATTATTATTATTTATACAAAGGCATATTGCAAACACACTATTTCTATTTTAAACTTATATTTGTTAGATAACAATGGCATGGGATAAAAATAGTAATTATTTTTATTTTCTTAAGAAATATCCGATAATATGTATTTTACTCGTATTTATAATATACTTGTATATTACATATAATATTATATAAACTAATAACAGTTTATTTCAATCATTGAGTTCTTCAATATTGTGTTTACTTTTGGAACTTTGAAGTGGGGCAGTGTTTTTGTAAATGTTTCATTTTGTTTTCTCTTTTGAAAAATTTTTGGAAATATAATTCTATAAAGTAATTATGCGTCAACGATATTATGAACGATATCAGGAAGAAAACCAGCAGTCAATTCTTATAGGTTCATTGACGTTATAATGCACTTCAAAAATCGTGGCATAAATTTAAATGACAATAATCATAACTAAATATTATATATACAATTTATTTATTCCCTTGTTTTATAATAATAAAAGAGTATTAATTATTAAAAAATATGAAAAATCACCTTTTTTACTACATATTTCTACTTTTCTATTTTTTGTTATTATTTATATTCAATTTACATACAAAAATTTGACTTAAAAATTAAAATTCTATTGACAAGTTTTTATATCATATACATTATTATTTCGCATGAAACTTTAGTAGTTTCTTTGCCAGGTATTGGTTTTTTTTTTAGGTTATCAAATAATTCCCAATGTTCATTACATCTTTTCACGTATGTTGTGTAATGGCCTATAGAATTTCTTATATTATTATTCCCTCTGTGAAAATGTGTTACTCCACGAAGTTCATACGACTTTTCATTAAGAAATATGCCTTTTGGATTATCACAGTTTTAAATCTAATGTATATCCTGCATCATTGCAGTGTTCAATGTTTTCACCTGAAAAAATATTAGGTATATTCAAAATGTTGACCTACGATAAGTACTTAAGTTATTAATAAGATAATCATACCTTTCCAAAACAGAATTTCAATGAAAATAAGTACTGGCGAAATGTTCGATTTAATATTCTGAAATCCAGTGCAGTTTCATGAAGCGTTTTTATTGTGCAAACATACAAATTTCTCCACGGAAAGACGTTTATTAATAAATTCTTGGATTTGACCGTTGGTAGTTTCATATGAAATGTAGCTTTAGGACGTTCAATCACCGATGGATATTTCTCACAATTTTTATTTGAACATATGATTGATTCAATAATTGTTGGAACTTCCAACATCATTGTTTTATTTATACTAAGGCATACTGAAAACATACTACCTATTTCTATTTTAAACATATATAAGTTAGATAACAATGGCATGGGATATAAATTGTAATTATTTTTATTTTATTTAAATATATCCGATAGTATGTATTTTACTTATATTTATAGTATATTCGTGTATGATATAAATTAATAACAGTTCATTTTAGTAATTTGGCTCTTTAGTGTTGTGTTTACCATATGAATTGTGAATTAGAGTGCAGTATTTGTACAAAAATTTAATTTTGATTTCTTTTTTGAGACATTATTTTGTAATAGAAACATAATTTTATTAAATATCTTAATAATTTATTAACTTTATTACTAAAAATGGCTGGAAGAAAACATTTTATTTGTTGAAGCTAATATAATCTTTTTACAACTTTCCGTTATAATTTTTTTTTTATGACAAAGAAAATCTTAAGAAAATTTTTTTATCCAATTTTCATGCCTTAAATATTAAATCAATTTTTATGCATTTTTAACTATAAAAATGTACGACTAATATTTTATGAGATAAAATCGAAATTTTGTAATATTTCTGGGTGACTATAAGTTGCGTCCCAATGTACCTCTTTTATGTAAATTGAGTCTCAAGTAATTTTAGGTATACTAAATTGTGTCCCGTATATTTTTTGTACATGTGTAAATTGCATCCCGGGTATTTTTATATTAAAATTTATATTTATATTTATATGATTTTTTGACTAAATAATTAATTTTATTAATTTTACAGGTTCTCACTTGTAGCTATTGTTAATTTTGTATCAGGAGGCCATTATGTTACTTATATTCAAAGGACAAAAACAAAAATATGGGAGCTTCATAATGATCTGGCCAAAAAAATAACAGTAGTAATAAAAGATAAAATTAGTTTAACGCCGCATATATTAATGTACATAAAAATGTAACATAATATTTTAAATTTATTGTACGTTTTTAAAATTATTTTATAATTTTTGTAATTTAATAGATATATCAGATTAACCTAAAAGTAATTAGGTTTAAAACAATTTTTTAAAAAAAATAGCTTTACCAGAAACTGAAGTTGTTATTAATACAAGAACTAGATATTGCACATTACATAGTTTAAAATAAATTATTCTCCATTAATAAATTGGTGTTTTTATATATTTTGTTGATCAATTAAATTGAAAATCTTTAAACCACAAAATATAATGATAATTATATTTTCCAGAAAAAACTGACTTTCATAATGAACCATTGGCATACATATTTAGTTATTCTAACACACTTCTGTAATTTGTTAAGGTTATATAATATTAATACCTGAAACCAATTATTTTTTTTAGAAATTATTGACTTCAGGGTGTCAAAACTTCCCTCGAAAATCCTTGTCAATTAGGAATTATCATTTGACAAACATTTTATAGTATCACAACAATATGGGTGGGCTATGTATAAAAAGGGAAAATAAGATTCATACATAAGAAATAGGTAATTTTAATATTATCACAATTTTAGAATTTAATTTATATTCTTCCCACTGGTGGCTCGTGGATTTTTAATGAAGTAGAGCACATCCGAATAAATTATAAAAAATATTATATATACAACGTTAAAAGTTTTTTGTTTTTTGTTTTTTTTTTACGTCGGTGGTCGATAGTAAATAGAAACACGATTGTTGTTTTGAATTTAAGATAATTACTAACATTATTAGTCGATAATCAGAATATAATAAACAAATGAGAGTAAAAATAAATCATGCCGAAACCGACGCGGCGATGTCGAAAATAATTCGCTGAAAACATTTTATTTGGTTATGTGCACAGAAATGAATGTGCACATCAATTCCATTATAATGCGTGTTGTATGTTTTGACTTGTTTTAATTTTTACGTTATATAAATGTGCACAGCAATAGTGTGCACTACTGCACCGCTATAACACACACATACACACACACACACACCGATACTGTTCTGTCGCGGACAACCGCCTGCTCGTGTAGCCTTTGGAATAACCCAATCTAAATATTATATTATTTTCATACTATTCTGAATTTAAATTTTGAAAAATAATCTCAATAACACTACAGGTATTTAGTTTTATTCTTATGGTTTATGTTTTCAAATTTTTTTGGAGTTTGAGTAGGTGCAAGAGCAAACGAGCCGCAACTGATCCTTTCGTAAAAATGAATTAGCAAATAATAATTTTTTATGATTCCATAATAATAAATTAATTCCATAATCTGAAAATTATAATATTGGAAATAATTTAAATAAAATTAAAAATGTTAAATAATTTTGAAATTCTAGGGCCACTCGGAAAGGCTACGTGAAGTTGGCCCACCCTTTTGCTTTTTAATTATAATTCACAAACGGCTTA